GGGGGGGGGGGTTAAGTAGTAAAAAAAAGTAGACTGTACAGCTTTAGATTACGTACCATTTCATCATAAAGCTTTTGAATAAAAAAAATGTCCACTATTTTGTGAAAAAAAATAGTGAACATAATGTGAAAAAAGCGGACTGTCCACTCAAATAGTGGACACCTGGCAACCCTATAAATCTTTCCACTAAGCAAGAGATAAATGTATTGAGCTTCTTAAAAAAATCAACACATTTCTTACCATTAAGTCATGTGCTGCTGAAAAGGATAAAGTTCAAATAAGTTTAGTTAAGTTCAAATCCCTGTTATTTGACCTCTGCACTGAGAAGTGGGATTTAGTATTAAACTTAAAACGTATACTTTAGAAATACCCGGAGGCCTATCATTTTTAAAAACGTGTCAGATGGCAGTGTCATAAAAAGCCAAATCGAGGTAAGGCCCACCCCGCAGATGGCAAAATTATCCCTCTCCTTTCTTTCCTAACCAAGTGCACCTTACTTCAGTTCTGGCCACCACTTCTCTCCCTCCTGTATCAGAGCAACGGAAGACATTAAAAAAGGGAGAACGGGGCGAAGTTTTAAAGAACCAAAGCGCGCAGAATGGCCCTCTTTCCGTCGCCCCCTCCCGCAAGTACCGCCGCCGCCGCCGCCAAAGCCAGGCGCCCGCGACGGCTCAGCCCAGCCGGTGAGGCCTGCGTCCCGCTCACTGCAAGCGGCGCGCGCCAACAGGCGAAGCCAGCCAGCCAAGCAGGCGGCGGAGGAGGAGAGCGGGGGAGGGGAGGCTCCTGCTGCTGTTGCCGCCACAGCGCTCGTCGCCGCCTCCCCCCCCCCGTCTCTCCCCGGCGGGGGCTCCTCGCTACAGCCTCTCTGCTCCGCTCTCGGTCATGTGACCCTAACGTAACCGGACAGGAAAAGCCGCCGCCGCCGCCGCGCTGACTCCGTTGTTGGCGCCGCTGCTGCTGCTCCTAGGCTGGCGGAGACCGCGGCCCCCTCCCCCGCCGCCGCCGCCGAAAGCGCGAGCCAGGTGAGCGCCGCCTGACCCCCCCACTCCATCCTCCGAGAAGGCGCGGGAGAGGGGCGGGTGGCCGGGAGGGAAAGAGGGGAGGGGGCGCGTGGCGGCGAGGCAGCAGAGGCCCTTCGCTCTCTCCTCCCCCCCCCCCCACACTCCCGTCCCACCATTGTACTGGCGGTCCGGGTAGGCCAGGTTCAGACCCGGAGGAAAGGCTGGGGACTCCCCGGACCCGGAGGGAGCTTTCTCAGCCGAGACCCCGAAATGGCGCCGGTGGAGGCGGCTGCCACGGGGAGGGGAGGGACAGGTCGCCCGGTTGAGGCTGCTAAAGAAACTCCTGCCCTGGCAGAACCTGGTCTGATCCGGGCTTGGCCCAACCCGGCCCGGCCCGGCCCTGAACGCCCTCGCCGAGCTGGGTAGCGGCCTTTCCCCTTTTTCTCTCACCCGCGGCGGCAGCAGCCCGGCCTAGGAGGAAGGGGGAGGGGCAGGCGCCGAGGCAGCCGCGCGGAGCGGGAAAGGGAGGGAGGGAGGCAGAGAGAGAGAGAGAGGAAAGGAGGGGGGGGTGAGGGTGGGCGGCTCCGTCTGCGTCTCCTCAGCAGCCTAGGCGGCCCTGGCGACAGCGGCGGTTCCCGTCTCTCGCGCGCCTAGGCGCCCCAGCCCGCCCGCTCGCGCTGCTTACGTCGTCTCGCGCCGCCGTCCGTACGCCCCGCCGCCTCCGTGCGTTGCAGGTTGCGGGCGCGCGCGCGCACGCGGCGGGCTTCGCGTCGCCTGCGCAAGGGGAGAAGGCGGGGCCGAGGCGGGGGCGCGCGCTGGCCTCGGTGGCCTGCCCCTTTTGCTCCGCGGGGCAGCCAATAGGGAACGCTGGCGGGCTGTCACGGTGTGATTCACGGCGGGGGCGGGGGCGGGGGGTGGTGGTGAAGGAAGCTTGCGGTCCTCCACCGCTGTAGGCTGCTGTTTTGGCCCGCCCCGTTGGCGTCTGCGAGGCTTTGCTGCCTCCTGAGTGGTTACCTCCAGGCTTTTTATTGCCGGCGCTTGGCGAGAAGTTCCTCTCTCGCAGTGTTTCTCAACCTTGACAATTTTAAGGCATGTGGACTTCAACTCCCAGAATTCCACAGCCAGCAAAGCTGGCTGTGGAATTCTGGGAGTTGAAGTCCACATGCCTTAAAATTGTCAAGGTTGAGAAACACTGCAGGGAGGGACAGCCTCTCGGAAGATGTTCTGCTTTATTTTTCCCTGGGACGGAAGAGGCTTTCGAATTTTGATCCCACCCTTCTTCTGGACGCTGTTTTTTTCTGGGCAGGGAAGCAGTGATGTCCTCACAAGTATCCAGAGAGATTTCGCCTTTATTTAATGTTAGAAGCTGCCCATAAAATCGAACAGTTGTGAATTGACGTGTAATCTAGAAAACAAGATGTGTTTGGTTTTATTTTTAATTTAACCTCAAACGAAGGCCGTGATTTTTTTTTTTATCTAATCCGTTTTCCCGTTTGCTGCGAGTTTTCCTGAATAGCTGAATTTGTTGTGCAAAGCATTTATTAAACAGACATAAAATATAAAGTGACATATCAAAACAGAGCTGAAAAACTAATCGAGAGAATTCAGTACTAGTACTGAGTATATATACTCAGTATATATATATATATATATACTCAGTATATATACTAGTACCAAATGCTAGTACTGAATATTTGTACCCTACAAATATTTCAAAATGCTGTGAGGGATCACGAGTTTTAGAATTACGTTTGGTTGAATTCTCTTGATCCTATGCAGCATTTCCAATATTTTTTTTTAATATTGTAAAACTATACATGTATATTCCAACACAAAATCTTCATTTATTTGCTCTCAAATTTTTATTATATTTCAAGCTGTCTACAAACTGAAGTATTATGAATGTGATGGCTTTAAATAAATTTGATTTTTTTTCAGTTGTCTGAAATATATATTGGTACATTGCTAGCAAACATAATGAGCATTGTTGTGCTATTTATTATGTTATCCTTGCTTTTATTTCCTTTGTTGATTTTAATCTTCTAGACAGCAGTCAGTTGATTGAAATTTGGGTGCTTGGCAGCCCATTCACATTTTCAACCACAGTATGCACTTTAACTCCCCCCCCCACTGTCTTTGCCCTTTTGGTCTCTGCACCAAAGCCACTTATCTCCAGCTGATCTTTGCTTTTTCCTCCCACTGCTTGTGAGGCTCACCCAGCCAAGGCAGCTATTGGCCCTCCTTGTTTTATCTAATGAGCATGTGATGGAAATTCTAGTCCCAATTTGGGTTAAATGGGGACTGCTTATATGTTTCTTGCTTAGTTACAATAAGTAAAAATTAGGTGGCTATGAAAATCAGATAAATAAATGGTTTTAGTACCTATGAATTGTACCCTTCCAAATGTCATGTTCTTTGAGCATACGACAGAATCTTTAAAGAAATGTGTTTTCAAAAAAATTTTCTACTTTACAGATTTTAAAAGATGGATTTGGCCAACCATGGACTTATTCTTCTACAGCAGCTTAATGCTCAGAGGGAGTTTGGTTTCCTGTGTGACTGCACAGTTGCTATTGGTGATGTGTACTTTAAGGCACACAAATCCGTCCTTGCCTCTTTTTCCAACTACTTCAAGATGTTGTTTGTTCATCAAAGCAGGTACTATATACATATATATATGTAATATATATATTTAAAAATTACTGTAAACTTTTCAGTTAGTTGAATTAAAGCAGCCTGAAGATATTGTCAAACATTTAGTATAGAGTTACTTTATCTACCTTAATAAGTAACATGCAGTGCAATCTGCAGATCATTTAAGACAGAGGTGTCAAACTCAATTTCATTGAGAGCCGCATCAGCATTGCGATTGCCCTCGGGGGGGGCGGGGATGTGTGGCCAGGGTGGGTGCAGCCTACTGGGTGGATGTGGATGGAGTGGGTGTGGCCTACTGGGTGGGCGTGGCTAGCTCTACATCGTTTGCGTCAAGGGTGCCTGTGGGGGCCTGGGCAGGAGTGGGACAGATCTGAGGGTGTCTGGCAGAAGGGGGTGGGACCGGGGCAAGTGCCAAGGCATGGTCCATTTCTTCATTCCTCACAAAGGGTGACACCTCCCCAGCATGCACCCAGGGGGCGGGGCCGATGCAGCAGGGGCTGGTTCCTCGCTGTTTCTAGATGGCCTTGTGGAGCTAAGACTGAATGTGTTTCAGCATAGATGGCCACCACAAAATTGTACATTGGCTCCCGGCCAGCCTGGGCCAGGGCCAAGGCAGTGGGGGCCGTTCCCTCACTGTTTCCAGGATGGCTTCGAGGGCCGCATGAAACCACTTTGCGGCCGCATGCGGCCCGGGACCTTCTGTTTGACATGTCTGATTTAAGACAATTAGAATTTAAGCCTTGCTAACTCGATACCTGATTTATGACCCAGGCTCAACCACTGTAATCCTGAAGAGTTCTTTTGGTGTAAATTACAATTTCCTAAGTAGCAGGGAACCAAAGGTTAATGAGGGGAGTCCCTATCCATCCATCCCAGGAAGAACCTAGCTTTCCCTTTATATTGGCCATAGGAGAAGGATAGAGCTTTGTTTATCCTTTCCATTCAGATAGTATTGGAAGGCAACACGGTGTGGAATCAGCCAAGAGAATTTAGAACTGTGAATTGCTATTCAAAGAAAATAACTAAAAAGAAGAGGTCAGTCTGGCCTGAAGTGGTTACAGATGTCAGAATGGGCTTGCGGAACTGTTTGCCATCTGCATTTTTCATTCTCTTCTCTTGTATGCCTTGCCTTTTTACATAGTAAACCTGAGGGTTGGTCTTCTTTCTGGTTTAATGCTTATGAATCACTTTAAGAAGTAATCATTGTCTGAAATGAAATAAAAGCATGGGATATGAAAAAAAAATTAATCACTGTCTTTATTCACAGCAGTTGAGATTACAAATATTTGTGATAAGATGAACAGATGTATATGATACATTTTGCTCCCCATGCATCAGTATTCTTCATATTAAGTCTTTACTATTAGAAGATTAAGAATTGGGAATTATGTTCCATTTGCCTTGTTTATTCCTGGCAGCTGAAAGCTTTGAATTTTTCAAGAAGTTATTGACATTTTATTTTTAAAGATAAGCTGTTAACATACTTCTATACTCCATTAAACAAAGGTATAGGTTCTGCAATATATGCAAAGGTTCTGCTGCTAAATATAGACATTTGCTGAAAAATTGGCTGTAGGGACTCAGATCCTTATTATTAAACAAATTAATAGGCAGCCTGTGACCCCTTGGGTCATTTTTTCAGAGATATTTTCTTGCCAGATTCCTCAGCTCTTTCAAATGGCAGAGCTTCTAATGTTACCTTCCGGGAAGAGGCTCCGTGGTATCCGAAGCAGAACATCTAGATTCAGTCACAGTTTTGTTCCATACAGTATTAACTTTGTGAACTCTAAAGCTTCCTCCTTCCATTATGTATTCAGGATGGACAGTGATTAATATGTATATGTTATTTATATGTAAGGGTCTATACATACGTTGTACATAGTATGTTTAAATGTGTGTTATGTATGTGTACATTTTGTACACTCAATGTACACTCAAATGTGTGTTATGTATGTGTACACTCAATTTCATTTTTAATGTGTGCCATTGTGCCCACAGTAAAAATGACAATAAAGGTTATCTATATCTATATCTATCTATCTGCATGAAAAGTTAGATATTCAGAGAAGTATCTGCCTTGAAAATAGCTCAGTCAAAACATCAGGAGTCGACCACAGAAAATATTTTATGATATTTTGTATTATGCCAAAATGCTTTAGGATAATTTTTATGTCATAAAATGTTTTATAAAATTCAATTTCATGTGAGTCACTGGTCCAAGATGTTGAACACATTCTGTAAGTTAGCTTATTTGAGATACCTTGGCTCAAAAGGTTTTGCCCTACGATGCACTGTTTCAGCCAGTTAGAGCAGAGGTGTCAAACTCAATTTCATTGAGGGCCGCATCAGCATTGCGGTTGCCCTCGGGGCCAGGTGGGTGTGGCCAGGATAGGTGTGGCCTACTCGGTGTGCGTGGATGGAGTGGGTGTGGCCTACTGGGTGGGTGTGGCCACTTCTACATCATTCACATCAAGGGTGCCTGTGGGGGCCTGGGCAGGAGTGGGACAAATCTGACGGTCTCTGGCAGAAGGGGGTGGGACCAGGGCAAGTGCCAAGGCATGGTCCACTGGAGGAGCCTCACTGTTTCTCTCAGGCCATGCAGGGGGGGGGCTTATGGAGCTAAGACTGAATGCGTTTCAGCGTAGATGGCCACCACAAAATTGAACATTGACTCCCTGCTGGCCTGGGTCAGAGCCAAGGCAGCGAGGGCCGTTCCCTCACTGTTTCCAGGATGGCTTCGAGGGCCACATGAAACCACTTCGTGGGCCACATCTGGCCCCTGGGCCTTGTGTTTCACATGTCTTGAGTTAGAGATTACAGAGACGAGTGTTTTAGTAGTATATGGATGTATCTTTGAGAATGGAACACCTCAGCTGATTCCTCAGCAATCAAGTAAAGTGGCAAATAAATCCCAAATTGTCAAAATATAGGAAGTTTTGTATTTCATTTTTGATTCTTAAGTATTTGTGTGGTACTACGGTATAAGCTACTGTATTCAGTTGTACTTCCTGAACCAAATAACTTTTATTTAAAATCAGGTATGTGTTATGACGTTATTTCTCTAAAACTGACTAAGTACAAATTATCTTTTATTCCTTCACATTGTGATCTGAAGGGACAGCAAAAGCAGCCCTGAGTCATATTACTTAAAGAATTATTGCAATAAATACACAATGTTCTTTAAGTGACTAGCTTTAAAATTGTAGAGCCTTCCTATGCCTAACTTCAGAAGAAAATCACTAAGGTTAGTGAGACTTACAGGTAGTCCTTGGCTAATGGCCAGTTGCTTTGCGACCATTCGAAGTTATGATGGACCCCCCAAAAGCTACTTACAACCTGGATTTGAAGTTCTGACATCCAGGAGCCCCTGCTGCATCAGGTGGCTGCATTTTGGGCCCTTGGCAACCAGCCCACATTTACTGCTGTTTTCAGTGCTCTATGGTCACGTAACTGCTTTACGACATTTTTCCCGGGGATTGGCATTTAATTCCAGCTTCTGGCAACCCCTCCCCCCAAAACAAACAAACAATGGGTTTGCGTAAGACTGCCCCAAAGTCATTAAATCTGGTCTGGACACATAAGTGACACACTTTATGGCCATCACAACTTACAACTGAAAGTGCGGGCTCAATTATGGTCATACAGTAAGTTGAGGACTACCTGTGTTTGTGTATCAATATGTATTGAAGGGGTGGATGCCTCACAGATTGCTTGTGATCCTTTGTTGGAAGACCTGGGGGCAGCTTCCAAACACCCTACCATCTTGTTTTATTCATTTATTTATATTTCATATTACTTAACCGTCCATCTCCCTCATGGTTTGCCAATGTTGGTGTTGCAAAAGTATTTCCATGGATGAAATTCCTGTATTTTAGTAGCTGCAGAAACGTAGCGACAGTGAGCAATAGCAGAGGGAGGCAACTCTTCTGTACGGACACATGTAAACAGGAGGAATGCCTGTGCTTTCTGGGCCCTAAATCTAATCATTCCTGGTGTATAGGGGATATACTGCTGCCCTGAATAAATACTATAATACTTCTTTTTCCCCTTTTTCTTCATTAATAGTGTAACTTTTTTTTTGCAGTGAATGTGTCCGCTTGAAGGCTGCTGACATACAGCCAGATATTTTCAGTTACCTCTTGCATTTGATGTATACTGGAAAGATGGCACCTCAGCTCATAGATCCCATTCGACTCGAGCAAGGGATAAAATTCTTGCATGCATACCCACTGATCCAGGAGGCCAGTCTTGCCAGTCAAGGAAACTTTGCACACCCAGAGCAAGTTTTCCCATTGGCATCATCATTGTATGGAATTCAAATTGCAGATCACCAAGCCAGAAATCCCACAAAGGCAGTGACGGCACCTGACAAGCCTTTGCGAGAAGCACGGCCCCAGCTCTCGAGAGTGAACCAAGAACAGGTGCACGAACCCTCCCAACTATCCCAGATACCACCACCAGGTTTGCCTCAAGTGCCCCCAACAAATATGGTTCCCCCTGACCCACTGCAGTCTTCACTGTCTCCCGAGTTAGTATCAGCTCCTTCTCATCCTTCACCTGGAGATGAAACCAACATGGAAGCCTCTTCCTCAGACGATCAACCTGCCTCTCTCACCATAGCGCATGTCAAACCGAGCATTATGAAAAAAAATGGAAGCTTTCCCAAATACTATGCCTGCCACCTCTGTGGTCGGCGTTTCAATTTGCGAAGTAGCTTGCGTGAGCATCTCCAGATTCATACGGGGGTGCCCTTCGCATCCAACCAGCACGGGGAAAGTAGCATTCCCTTGTCTCTTTGTAATAATGCTCTTGAAAAAGATGCTATGGATGCAACCGAGGCCGGAATGATCAGTGACAGTGAGCTGCAGCAGATCTCAGATTCACCCATAATTGACGGGCAGCAGCAAGCAGAAACCCCTCCACCCTCGGATATTGCTGATATTGACAATTTGGAGCAGGCAGATCAAGAAAGAGAAGTGAAAAGGCGGAAATACGAATGCTCCATTTGTGGACGCAAGTTCATTCAGAAAAGCCACTGGAGAGAGCACATGTACATACATACCGGCAAGCCTTTCAAGTGCAGTACTTGTGACAAAAGTTTCTGCCGGGCCAATCAAGCTGCTAGGCATGTATGTCTCAACCAAAGCACGGATACCTACACTGTGGTGGACAAGCAGACTCTGGAGCTCTGTACCTTTGAGGAAGGCAACCAGATGGACAACATGTTAGTACAGACCAACAAACCCTATAAGTGCAACTTGTGTGACAAGACATTCTCCACGCCTAATGAAGTTGTCAAACATTCTTGCCAAAGTCAGAACTCCGTCTTTACTTTAGAAGAGGAAAGATCCATTCTACTCAGCGGGGGAGATGCTGAAACCACAGAGAGCGATCATTCAGTTTTAGACTCTATCAAAAAAGAACAGGAAGCAGTATTGTTAGATTGATTGTGAAACTTGGGGGGGTTTTTTTGTAACAAAAGGTTATGTTTGTTTATTCATATTTTTTATTAAACTTATCTTCCTCCCCTCTCCCCACTATAACTTCACTGACATGAAAGGAAGTCTGGCTCTATTCCCAGTAAAAGCCTAACATTAATAAAGGGTATTATATCAAATTATAACTATTGATTTTAATGATAAGAAAGAAAATATGTAGGAGTAAATTCCTTACCTTGGAAACTATGTTACAGTGATAAATTGCTCAATGACAGGACTGTAAACAATTTGAAAGATTGTTTAATTATACGCTTGAATGCACTGAGAAGGTGAGAAGAAAACTATGTTGGTCAAGTTTCAATTGTTTATTCTCAAACCTGATTACTTGTTAGAGGAAGATTAGTTAAGGAAATTGATTCCTAAGTGAAATGCCTATAGCTGTGTCTATTAGTCATTTTACAAATGCTCAGAAATTCCTTTAATAGAAGCAATCCATTTTTTTTAATCTACACAATTTTTGACAAATGTTTATGTTCAGATCAGTCCACTGATATTATATCCATTCACAAAGAATAAGAATATGATCCTAAGCACACTTGAGTTGGTGGTAGATCCTATCCATGGGGCTCAAACTTCTCAGCAAAATGTGCTCAGGATCATATTTCATTAAAGTAGCAGTAATAATGTGATGGCAATCATTTTATATGCATAATGTGTGTGCCTGTGTGCGTGCACAAGTGTATTTACTTCAGGCATGTATGTACCGCATGCACCCTTTTCAAATTGACCACTTTTTTGAAAACAGTTTTTAATATCAGTAAAAATACTCTTTTCAGAAGCGTATTTAAATTACACTGACCATATGAATATTTATATCTGAATTAAAATGAATAATGTTGAAGCCTATTATGGGTCAAAACCTGAAGGAAGTGAATTAGAAGAACTCTACAAAGTAGTCCTTGCACCTCCCTCCCTATGGGAGTAACAGTTTTCAGCCTGTTTTTGAGATACAGAAAAGAAGAAAAACAATCAAAGCAATGGTCTGAATTTACCTGATTAATAAATGAAAATTACGAGAAAGGGAATCGGATCTTAATTTTTAATTACTAGCATCATTTTATAACAGAGCAAAATAGAAGAATGACCAAATTATATCATGGCTGGTTTTCAGGTTAAAGTGGAACTTTGAGCAGCATCCTCTCTGTTCTTTGTATTACATTTTCGTAGGTTCCAGTCTGGCAAAATATGCAACAAATAAAGGGGATGCATTGTACAGTCACTTTGCTATGGACAGTCTATCCGCCATTCGAAATCAAGTTGTTGATTTTTATCTTTAATATATAAATATATGGATATTCTCCAATAGCCTAAAAAACTAAATTGACAAAGTGTTTTCTAAAATCCCACTGAAATGCAGGCAAGTATTTTCATGGGGGAGAAAAGGGAGCAGTAATTGCTCTGCTCTTGTATACATGTTTTGTTTTAAGTATCATCTTTTTTGTGTCTAGCTATGTTCTCCAGTTTGTAAGTTTTTATACTTTATTTCACAGAATAAAAATGGTATGAAAATAATTTTAATTTTTGTCAAGTCAGAACTGATTTATCATATTCCATTACTGCACATATGGTCAGACTTTTGACCTAAGGATTTCCAACACAGCAAAAAAAGAGTGATCTGTTGCACTGATCCTGGTAGCTAATTCTGTGCTGAAGCAGCAATAGCAATTGGTGCTGGAGAAGCAAACCTTGTGCATCTCAGGAGCAGTACACAGTTGGATGTTTAATAATACCTGGGTTGCCCTTGAATACTTGTGCCCGTCTTAAACCTGTATTTCTGCAATTCATTTGGAAATTTAATTCTAACAATGGGCATGTGAAATACAGCTGCCCTACCATGTGGCAATAAGATAGATCAATAGAAAAGTATGCAGTACATTAGCAGGGTTCAGTTTACTTCTTAAATAAATGGAACTATTTCACTTCCCCACACCTCCATCAAATCATTGCCATCTGCATAGGCTGAGGACAAACAACACATAGTGCTCCATAAATTGCGAGCCAGCAACTTCCATGATCTTTGCCTTATCTATATTGGTCAGATGTATCTGGAATTGAAGTACATCATATGGAAGACCGCACATGATCCATCCCCTTCTGGGTTGTTCAGAGATGTGATAAGAGTGGGATTCTCAGTGGCCTACAAATTCACACCAGTAATACAGTAGCTCTGTTTTTAATTTCCTCCATGCCAGCTGGTAATTATGTCAGTTCTTCCTGCAGAGCTGAGAGAGCTTGCTGAGATGGCTCTATTGTTGAGATGACCAATTTTATCCCTCTGGTTGTCTAGGGTTTGTATCTTTGATTTTTTTAAATTATATTTATTCATGTGAAGTGTTATATTTGATATCTGTGTTTTACATAATTTTATTGTGTGCCACTTTTGGTGATGTAAATTTGATAAATAAATAGCTCTGAGAAAAGCTCATGTACAGACCAAGTAGCAGATAGAAGGCAAACCTTTTGCTGGTCCACTGTCTTATGCTTGTTAGAGACTTAAGATGTTAAAGCCATTGGTCCTAACAACAGGTTTAACACAATCTATCACCCAGCAGAAACCAACATGCCAGGATGGGCTGTTTGAGTATAGTATACTATTTACTAAGCAGAATCTCTGGCAAAATTGTTTAAAACCTGCACTTATAAACTAGGATCTGACTGTATGACAAGATTTGAAAATGTTTCCAAATGTTAATTTGAATTTAGCCGCATAGTTCCATGTGTCTTAAGTATGCAGATAATTGCATCGCACATTAATTGTATTTGGTGGGATCAGGTTTTGTGGCAACCTCACTGTATCAAAGCAATATCTGTGAATGGAGACATGTTCCCTGAACCATCACAAAAATTCTTCAGGTGCCTTGTTTTTTATTTTGAGACCATCAGTTGCAAGAAGAATGGCTGGTTATATGATATATGCTCTTGGCATTGCTTAGAAAGGCCATAGTATCTTTTTAAAAAAACTTCCCAAATCAAGCACTTGTTCCACAACTTCTAGTCACTAACTATATTGTTATCACCATATTTTATTTAAATGTTTAACTTTACACAACTATTAACAACCTTAGAGTTATAAAGGGAGATATAAAGATAAAATCCAGGATTACATAGGTCATGCCACCACTGTATTTTGTATTATTATTTCACTTGCTGGAGCTTTTGCAATATGGCTTTCCATAAGCAGATTATAGTTTATTTAAATAATTGGTTTCCCATTAGCTGTTAAAATGATGGCAAATTAAAGTGGCACTTAAATCTTACTTTGAAGTGGTCTGTACATAATAAACCTTTTGTGGATCCGGGCGTTGGAGACCGCCCAGAAATGGGCTGCCAGAGGGCCGCAGAAGTGTCCCCCAGCCTCAGATCCGGGCAGCAGCGGCCTGGGGAAGGCGTCCAGCACCGGGATAGGGCTGCCAGAAGCCCACAAGAGCATCCCCAGCCTCAGATCCAGGCGGTAGCAGCCTGGAGAAGGTGTCCGGCGCCCAGATCAGTGTGCCAGAGGGCCGCAGAAGCGTTCCCCGGCCTCAGATCCGGGGGGCAGTGGCCTGGAAAAGGCCTCCAATACTCCAATCCAGTTTCCGGAGGTACACGGAAGCGTCCCCAGCCTCAGATCCAGGTGGCAGTGGCCTGGAAAAGGCCTCTGATGTCCCAATCCAGCCTCTGGAGGCACATGGAAGCATCCCCCTGGCTTCGGTTCCATTCTCTGTTGCAGACAACAGAGGCCTAAAGTACCATGAGATCACGCAAGATCAGTACAGTGAGATCTCGCCCCACTTACCTCGCATGATCTTGCGTTACTTTAGGCCTCCATTCTCTGAATGCTTCGAAAGCCTGGAGCAGTCAAGGAAGCGAAGAATCTCGATCTTCGCAGGGTGAGTATTGAAGGTCTGATGCCTAGGGAGACCTGGGCCGGCGGTGGGAAAAACCAGGGTGAATGTTGCAGAGCCTCTGTGGTCTCTCGTAAGGGCGAATGACTGCCGTGGTGCTGTAATATTCATAATTTCGGGACTTGTTCATAAGCACTAGTGAACACTCGTAACCTGGGGATTACCTGTAAATATTTTCTACTTTTTCTACACAAATTAAAGCTTCCCATGATGCAGAAGTATCAACTTTTTTCTTAGACTCATCTGCACTTTTTTCTATTTTTTGTTCCTCATCATTTCCTTTAATATCTTTTGTCCCATCTTTTTCTGGTATCAGTTTTTCTTTTTCTAATTCTTCTTCAACAATTATTCCTTCTGTTGTCGCTTCTTTCTCCATTTCTTGTTCTTATTTTTCTTTCTCAGATTGCACTTCTTCTTTAGGTTTTCTGAAGCTTGTCCTTTTTCTAAACCCAGCCCAACTCTGAGTAAAAAACTTTCTCAGAGGTGGATGCAGTTTCAGCAGTTGATGGGCTTACTGGAGAATCTGGAGATTTAATCCCATTGTTTTTGATTTCTGCCTCTTTGCTTTCTGCTTCCACAGGGCTTTCTGTTACTTTCTCGGAGGAGGTTTCTCCTTTCATCTCCTCAGCTTCTTCCTCAGTCTTGTCTACAGAGGCAGTGATTTCACTTTGTGTGGCTTCTCCCACTGTCTCTGTCATGAGTTGTTTATAGTCTCCAGCTACGTCACTTGACCCTTCTGCAACCTCTGGCTTTACATCCAATAGCTGAACAGGTTCAGCTTTCTCTGTTTTATCCTTTTTAACTGTAAATTTGAATCCAACTAATTTAAAAACCTTTTTAAATCCAACATCATTTGATGGAGATACACCAGGCTGATCTTCTTTTTCTTCTGATGCCAGCTGTTTATTAGCATCTTCTGTGTCTTTCTGTACCTCATCTTCATTTGCCTTGGCATTTACGTAATTCTGCTAGGCTTGTTTTTGTATTTTCAGTAGATTCCTCTTCCAGAATTAAATCTGTAGCTTTTGTTTCACCAACTGTAAAAGATATTCAAAGTTGATAAAAAAAATTAGAAGTGCCATTATAATTAATAATGTGGGAAGTGTAAATAAAAATAATTGGAAATATAAATAAATTGTATCTTCTCAAGTTTCTTCATCCTTATTCTGAATTTTAAGAAGATATTTTAATGATAATTTCCATGAATTTTAATGCAAGCTATGTGTTATGATTATGCACATTTCAAAAATGGTTCCAAATAAGTGCTTCAGAAGTAGTGCAAGTAAGGTCAACTCGTGATATAATTCTTAAAGGAATTTAAATGCTTCTTTTCAGGCTTATGTGGAAAAAAGATGGTGTGATTTAACAAACAACAGAGAGGTGATTATGCAAGGGTCTTTTCAAAGACTATACTGTCCTAGTGTGTAGGAGTGGGCTCTATTTTGTGTGGATAATGAGATTGTGAAGTTGTGCAGTGTCAGAAGCAAGCTGGTGGCACAGCTCACTTTTAACTCATTGTGTAATTGTCCAAAAGTGCTCAAATTGTGTTTGCTATACAATTTTTGAATGCTTACTTATTGAACACATTATTAATATCCCAGAAATTGTATGCAATTTTTTTGAATAAATTCCAGTTATACTCCAGGCCTAGGATTGCCACAAATCCCATAATCCCTTGCCATGGCCAGAGTGACATGTGAACGGAGTTACTAAAACTTAGTAACAACTAAAATGCCATAAATTACTCTAAATTACTCTAAGTTAGAAAATTAAATCTCTACAGGCCTTAACAGTTGAACTAAATAAACCTATGCAGCATTTTATGGACTGTTGCCAAAAAATCATT